GGGGGGGGGTGGGATGGGGGGGAGCCAGGCCTCGCTCCAGCTGCCCCGCAGCCCTGGGCCGGCGTCTGGCCGCTCCGAGCAGGCCTTGCCCCGGAGCTCCGGCCCTCGCCGCTCTCCGCGGGCAGCAGGGCCTCCAGCCGGCGCTCAGCGCCAGCGCCTCCCCCCCCGTGCGGGGGGCTGCGCTTTGCAGGGGCGTGAGAGTTCAGTGAATCAGCGGTTTCTGTTTACTTTGCTTCTGAAACGCTTCAAATATCCATGTGGTGCTCGGATCTCTGGACCTCGCGTGACTTTTCTTGTTTGTTTTGATTTTTTTTGATCAGTTGTTGGGTACTTAGCTTAGAATAACGCTTTTTCTTTCTCGTTATTTGAAATTGTTAATGCAAGTGAATGTTACCTGGCTCGGTGTGTCTTGGATTTAAACTGTGGGGAAGTAAGTGCCTTGGAGGGGGAGGAAGGACCAGCCCTGTGGTGCTCTCAGTGGCAGGGCTGGACTGATCTGAACCCTAATATATATACACTTGGTCCTCAAAGATTTACTTGAACAGACTCTTAGAAATACCCTCGTGTTTGAACTTCTACTCCGCTCTATAAATTGCTTTGATGTTTTATTTTACTCTTCAAGATAACGTTAATATTTTGAAATTTCCATTTTAAGAGTATTTATTTTAAAGTGCTTTGGTGAAGTAACTGAAAGCATAAAGCATAATGATAGCTGTGTCTGTGTGATTTGATTTTTCTTGAGAAGGGCCCCTGATAATGTGGGGTAGACTAAATTACTTTTAAAAGGCTCCTTCTAAGCCATACCATTCTATGACTAAAATCAAACATCCAATCTGTGTTGCATCTTAACTTACTGCAGAAGAAATAGGTACCTAATGGAAGGAAATGGGTTGGTATTCTTAAAAAATAAATATATTTTCTTTTGTTATCTTTAGTAGTTTAGAAAATTAAAATGCTTAATCTAGAATTTCAGATATAAATATTTAGCAGCTATTTTCTGCAAAATTTTTGTTAAGATCTCAGGGGGTTTTTTTTAATGGAGAAAATGCTGCATCTCTCTGCCAAAGATGCTGCCTCAATGCCCAGAGTTATTTTTTATAAGAAAACTTGTGACCACAACTCTTGCTGACATAGGAAGTTAAATCAGAACTTCTCTTTAGTTAGAGTTACTGTTTTGCCTGTATGGTATGATAAATTTTAAGTGGTTAAAGTTAAGAGTTGTTTATTTCGGGGAAGCTGCCAGTCTGTCTTAGTTCTGTAGCTCTTAATGGTCAATGACATTTTTTTGCAAATGCATCAATTTGTTGTAGCTTTGTCTGGCAGTTAAAGATGCTTTCATGTGGATTTAGTGTGCACATGGCATGTATCTGGAAGCATTTGCATTCATGCCAGTGGGAACAGAAAGCCTCGTTGTGGAGAAAGAAACTCTCCTTGTGGCAATTTGCTTTGGTCCAGCAAACTGCTTTCATGTCCTAAACTTGCGCATATTTGTAATCCAACCTACCTGTGTGGGCTTTGAGACTATTATTTCTCTTAGAAGGTTTTGTTTCCTGCTATCTGACATTTGCCTGTGACTTCAGTAGAATTGACTGGATGCAAGTAGGCCTTTCATGTCTTGGCCTGCGTTAAGTGTGGTGCTGAGGTTGTGCTGAGGAATGTCTTTGGTATACCAAAGCAGAATATTCTCACAGTTGTCAAGTGGACAGTAGTCACTTGCCATGCTGGTTTTATGGGGTAAGAAGGACCGTGTTCTTCACTTTCTCCTAGGTTGGGGGAGGTTTGATTACAGAAACAGTGTGAATAACATTTGTTCAAGATCACTGTATTACTTGAGGCTTAACCTCAGGGTGGAGATCACTGTAGCAACCAGAAATAAAATCTATGAGCTGTTCTGTTTGTAGAAGTGTTCTTGAGGTGAAAGGTAATAGACCTCCCAGAGAAGGTTTGGAAGGGGAGAGAGGGCTTTGTTTCCAAACAAAGCTGACTGGAATCTCCTTCTACAGAAGGCTTCTTACTGGCATGTGGTGCTGTTTTAGATTTGGGTCATGTAACAATCAAATAGTATTGCTTATCCTTAAACCAGTGTTGATGTTAGACCCAAAGATGGGCTTAACTGTGGAAGTAGGTGGCTAGAAAACTCCTGACATTCTCTGTTAAAACTGTAAGTACGTGTGTCTGGTCCATTTTAGTAGGACTTTGTCAGTATCTGGACTTCAAAAGAATGGATTATCCTTATTAGCCAACCTTTTACATAATTGGTAAGCATGTTAATTATTGAATTCTTCACATTTTT